CTTCACATTCAGGTGACCCAAAAGAAATCATTTGGGACAAGGTGGGTTTTTTTAAATAATGCAGTCATTGAGGTCATGCACAACGACTGTATTGCTATGCTCTTTACAGTGTGGTGATACCTCAGGAGTGAGGACGGTCCAGCTGTTGTTCGCACCGTTGCTGCCAGACATGACCCCTGGAGGCTTTTCCTGTCGCCTGCAAAACAAGAACATACAGAACAGATTATATGTTTAACAGTGGTTTAAAAGTAGTCTCTGTGGCTTCATAACCTTAAGATCAATTCTGATGACAAGGTAAAACAAACCCAAGTGTGCAGATTGTTCAGATAATTGTCACAGTGTCAGTACTGCAGCTCTAGAGTTGTACCTCCTTTGTTTATACATGGACAGGATTTGAATATATGCTTTGCTGCGAGGCCTCACCCATTCTGGAAATAAAGCCCTAATGTAACATGGTGTTAACAGATTGCTCTGTGTATGTACATGTGTGTGTTTGTGTGTGCAGGAAGTCCCAATCCCAGAGAAGCATTCAGCTCTTCATTAGTAGTTTGTGTGTGTTGTATGCCTTTTGACTAGCTGGGAAATGTTTCAGCAGAGACACTGGTAACTACGGCCGGCACCATACTGGAGATACAGGCAGCAGAGTAGGCAGTCCATTTCAAAGCTAGTGGCCTGTTGAATAGATGTCTACAAAAGAACCAAACTGTATATTTGCACAATGCATATGAATCTCAAAATTACCATTTTCCTCTTCGCCTGCAACTGCAGTAGTGTATTTAAACAACAAAACTGCTTACACCCAGTCTGACATTTAAATTCTACCACCTGGCAAAACCTGTCCTTCAAACACAGCAGAGTACAACATCACAAGATATTTTAACCAAGTGTAGTCTGGCTTTTTTTCAGTGAATGCAGAAAAGAACAAAACCCCTTCAGTTAACATTGTGGTGGATAATGACACACATCACTCCACAGATTCAATTCTCTCCGAGCTCTGCAATTTAGGTCTCCTAATCAAGTGGCTCCCAAGAGAGGTCTACTGAATCCAGCCTGAGGCCCAGGGAGCATTGTGGAGCATATAGGTTTAAATAGATACTGGCTAAATATAGCTGGAGAGAGATTGAGAGGAGACATCAAGAGGGAGCATGCATGAGGTGGCAATGGAAGACACAACAGGGGCAGCAATGCGATCTAATGACAGCTTTAAAAAGACTTGTTTTTAAATGAACAACTAAGATGGCAGCCTTTAACAGAGGGAAATACATGTCTCTTGCTCTTATCTGATCTATATAAGTGGCTGTGGCTTGACGGCACTGACCATAAAACCATTTCTGTTAAAAAAAAAAACTAAAATTGCATGAGGATATAAATACATTTTTACTTGTTTATACAGTTTTTTCATGCACAAATGCAGCCAGAAGCAGCTGCAGGCCTCCTCTTATCTTCTTGGTGTGAGAAGGGGAAAAAACACCAAAAAAGGTCAAGAGAATGAGGCAGAGGAGGAGGCACCATGTCCACAGCAGCTCTCTCACACACAGCATCACCAAGAACACACAGGTTATCAAAGTGTAACACACAGAGAGAAGCCTGGGGCAGGACATGTCACACAGAGAGAAAAACCCCACGTCTGATACTGACGTCTTCAACTCGACGGTGGAGGCCGAGAGCTCCTGAGGTAAATAACCTCAGGTGTGGAGCAAAAGGAGACTTGTTGACATTCGCCATTAAACTCAAAACTTTCGGTCGAGCCACCGAGAAGAAAGGAAGTGGGCGGAACTGCGAAACGGAAGGAAAATAACAACAACACGTGTGAAAACTTCCTGTTGGAGGAACAGAACATTAAGTGAGGAGAGCTTCTTACCGCCGAGCGTCGCCTTCTTCAGTCTGACGCAGGAGCTCAAACACGCGTCTGTCTCCTCGCATCCAACTTGGGGAAGTTTCCTCCCGGACACTCGCCTTCTCCTCCAATCCGCAGGCGGCGCTCGCTCCCGTCCCGCCCCCTCTCATGCCAGCTCTTCCAATCGCGACGCGTCGTCACCAGGCAGGCTTCCAGGTTGATTGACACATGCAGGTGATGACTTCAGCTCAAACCCTGGTTCAAACACTGTCACTGCTGCTCCGCACGTGTCCAGGTTCAGTTTACAAAGATCCTCCCTCTACATGTTTAACAGCTTGTAAAATTCATCCACTGTTGTTCTGAACACATAAATCATTGCAAACTTCGTCAATTTAAACGAATACAGGTCAAGGTCTCAATCAAGAGTGCATCTAAGCTATTTCTTAATCAAATTAATCAGAACAAAATGAACAAAAATGCAGACAATATATTTGTTTCTATTTATTCGTTCCTTTATTCACGTCCACAGCAGTTTGTCTTGTACAGTGAACATCAGCGGTGTCAGCCAGTCCTCCAGATCTTAGATCATTCAAGAAACTATAACCAACCTCACAGTGAACATGTGTAGCATCTGAAAACATGCTACTGCGTTTCCTGAAAACCCAACAGGAGCATCGTATATAGACCCTGAAAAACAGAAACAACAAAAAATATCTGTACGTAAGCGCATTGGACCATTTTTGTGATATAGTCAACTATTCATCAATGAAACACACTTTCTAAAACTAAGAGCATCTTTTTTGGGGTAGGTGATTACATCATATATATTCAAGGGTGTGACTTTAGTTTGAACATTATGGGGGAAGCTGAGGTCAAAAGACATGGTCAAATACTCATCATCATTTGTAAATTATTATTTCTTACCATTTGCTCTATATATATAATCACCATCTATATACATATATATATATATATATATATATATATATATAATCGCCATCTATATACTTACTAGATAATACCAACTAGCAAAAGTAGATGCAGAAAGATTGGGGTGAAAAAAGTTGTTCTTTGTTCGTGCTTCAAATTAAACTTATTATTAAACCCAGTGTATATTAGAGATTTCTTTTCGCTATCTGCATATGAGACAAAATTCATACTTGCCAATGCTTCGCTGATCAAACACTCCATTTCTGATGAAATAAAAGATGGTTTAAATTACACGACAGGAGCCAATGAACGGGGGGGAAAAATCAATGGTTCACCGCTTGATCTACTCTCTTGCAGTCTGTCAGTCCAGGATCTCTTTAATGCACCAGCAGCAGAGAAGGAAATAGAGGCACTCCTTCACCGACTGGATGAAACTGTAGGCAAAGTTTCCTCCCAGGAAGTTCTTGCCCCGTCCCAGACCCATGGCCATGTCCCGCAGGTGCTGTCCCAGGGAGGAGGAGGGCATGGCTTGCGGAAGAGGACGCTGTGGATGCATGGCTCCGCAGAGGAAAGGGGAGCGATCAGGCAGGAGGCAAGAAGGAGGGCAATCGATGAGGAAAAAACAGGAGGAGAGGTCTGACAGATGGGTCTGGACCAGGCTCGTGCGACAGCTAAGGTCAGCTCCTCTACTTATAACCTCCTTCATGACCTGCAGGCAGCCTCCACTCACATCCTGCTTTTTCTCGGCGCTTCTCTGCTTTCAAACATCCACTGATTGATTGAAGGCCTTGTTTACCTTTTCTGTGCGCTGCCCCCCCACTCTTTTGTAAAGTGCCCCCCACCACCACCACACAGACTCTCCGAGCTCTAACAATCCCTGAATCAGCCCCCTTCTGTTCACAAACAGGAGGGTTCCAGCAGCTCCAGTACATCCCAGTCTTTTGTTTCCAGACAGAATGTGACAGGGGATCATACTGTACCTTCTAGCAGTGTGTGCTGTGCTGTTTAATTTTAAGTTAAATGTTTTATTACACAGGTGTGGCTGTGTCTGAGGGGCAGAGAGATCGTCCTCCAACCAGAAGGTCTGCAGTTCGATTTCAGTCTTCCTTGTCTGCATTTTGAAGTGTCCTGTGGGCAAGATGCTGAACCCTCAAAAAAAAAGTGCTGCTACGAGTGTAAATGGCTAACGACTGTAAAGAATGAGATGGAAACAAATACTTAGGTCATACTGTATATACAATTATACCAAAAGCCAATCTTGCACAGAGATGAATGATATATGAATTTATATATGCAATCTATATTTTCAGATACAGGTGTACACAGACATGTTTCCCTAAAAACAAAACAAAAAGTATTAAAACAGAAATATATATAAAGTCAAAATCTGTGCACGCAATCTGAAAGTAACCTTTGGCTTTCAAAAAAAAGAAAAGTACAACAGCATCAACAACAACAACACTATCACCAACAACTTTTGACAGGATTTTCATGCAACAAAGGCAACTGTGATGAACTATGTTAACACAGGACCTGGTGTCTAATGATGCAGTGTTGGGTGGGTCGGTCACACACACACACAGAACCTTAAGCTCTGGTTTTCCTCTTTCTGACCTACAAACACCACAACCGGTAGAGGTTTGTGTCTGACCGACCCAGCCTTCACTCTGGTTTGGTGTGCATGGTAAGATTACAGGTGAGACCACTTCTTGGTTTTAGGACGAGTTAAAACTTCAGGTTTAAACTGAAAAGATCCCTTCTCGTATTTCAGGAGTTTGAAGACAATCTCTTTGACACGTTCAATTGGCTTAGAGAGCTGCCGCAGTGCTGTGGTTTGTGGCGGTACTTATCAATTAGGTCTTCAAATATACAACAAACATTAACCATTTACCAAGCTGACCAATTAAAAGCCGATGCTATTTACAGGTGGTCAGGAAGTATCCCCACTATGGTGACATCAAGTATCTGTGACTATACATATATGCTTAAAGCAAGAATGTGCATCAGAGGAGATTGCCATCACTGGATCGGATCGTGTGTGTTTACTGGAGTGTCATATTTGCGTCTTTGTTTTAACTGAGAGGCTTGTGTGAGATTCTCCTGTAGGTGACTACATTTGAATTAAGTACATAAGGTGACTGCTTTGAAGTGATGTGACTGCATCGAAGAAACAAGGCACGATATAAAAAGATATAAAAAACAATGTCATGAGTTGATGGAGGAGGAAGAGGAGAGGAGAACGTCTCCCTTCGGATCCTCCAGTTTTTTTTTTGTTTTTTTTAAACAGCACACCTAGGAGCAGCGTTTGGCTCAACAATTCATCGTTAGCAACGCTCCGAAAACATGCATGTCCTTATCTTCTGCTACCACAGAACCATTTCTTTTGATACAAGCTTTTAAAAAATGATTCCCTCAAGAGATTAAAAAGTAAAGCGTCATTACAATACACAAAAAGTTTTACCAAAACACTTACTATGACATACTTTGCATCATTTTTTGCAGAGGAAAATTCTTTGCTTAGACATTTCTTATCGGCCTCTGCTTAAAGGGTTCTCCTTTAACAACACTCCATTGCTTTCAGTTTACTCTGTGAAGATATAACCCATAGATTGTCAATGCAAACACATACTAAGATGTCAAAGAGAAGCAGTGGCTCAGAATGATGTGGTCCGTGCTTCTCTAAATGTAGTTATTGTGTTTGTAGGTGACAGCGAAGCCCTTCTGACGATGTGTTCAGGCACGAGCGCCTTCATTCTTCTTCCATCCAACACAGGCCCATTTTATGTGCAATTCTGTCCTTCTAATTAGCTCCCAAAGCTGCAATTATTACACAAGAAAGATAACAGTTGATAATTATAATGGCTTCCTCTTCTGCTGTTAGCAACCAAGTTCATGTTCTTTGGCATGACAGGTGGTGCACGTGTATCTGCATTTACGGAGGGATTAGGGCAGTACAGCTGTAATGTCCGATTAATAATGAGTCCCAAGATAGAACAAAACACATGAAATAAACAGATATATGATGGTCATTGGCATAGCAGTCCCAGTTTTGCATACAGGCTTTTCTCATCAGCTCCAACTCAAAGTTCAAAAGTCTCTAACGTGGCCCTCCTGATTAAATCGGAAGCCGACTGGTTTATGCATATTCATCAGAGTTACGTCAAAGTCAGGTTTGCAGCCAAATAGCTAACGTGACACCTGAAGGGAGTGTGTGTGTCCCAGCCTGGTTCAGACAAAGAACCGGTTCCTTCCAGTTTGGGTTTTGCCAAACATGCTCCAGCGACAGTCCGAGGAGGGAGATCATTTCCTCCAGATGAAAGAACACAAGCTCAATCCACGTCACATCGTCTCCTCACTCTTCAGGTTCACAATTTCATGTATTAGTAAAGTGTTTTTGTTTTTATTTTGTTTTTCATAATTCAAAGCTGTGATTTTTTTTTTGTTAAAAAAAATTGCATTTGTTTTCTGCCCGTTCCTGAAATGAGCGTAGGGCTCCTCCCTGGTTCACAGTAGGCTGTTGAGAAATTGCAGCAGTGCTTCTCCGTTGTGGAGCGATGCGCCTGACGGTTGGTGGGGTCGAGGAGGGACTGCAGATCACAGTTTGGCTTTCAGAGAGGACAGGGACATGTGGCAACAGCAGCAAGTAAGTGATTTTGCAGAGAAAATGGTGATCTTTTTTTTTTTCTTTTTGGTTTTCTTTGCGATGTGTGTTCATGTGTGTGTCGCTGCGTGTGTTTTTAGCATGTGGATGTTTTGATTGTGTGCTGAATTGCAGTAGGAGTGTGTGTATATTTGGTGGTGTATTTCATTGGTCTTTGCAGCATCAGGCCCTGCGCTCGACTGGCTGTTGCAGACACACTTCGCTACCAGCTGATACGATGGGGAGTCTGTTGTCCATGTGGTAGCTGATCAAGTGACTCACACTTTCAAACCGATGATCTTTAGTACGAACCTGAAAGACAAAACAAATTTGGTTAACTGCACACACACTTATACAACCATGTGTAAGGAAAACTCTACTTTCAATTGTCCCTTGCTTGTTCGCTCTTCTCCTCCCCCCACCCTGACTCACCACTCCTTCTGGGTCGACTAGTAGCAGGTGTTTGGGCTGCCCCCCCTGCTGCCCTGTGAGGACGTACTGTCCGGGCGTGGTCCCAGACTCCCGCACTAGGAAGTCGCCATCTCGGGTCAGCAGCCTCTCCGCTTCTCTGCGACTTAAGCTACCATGGAACCAGGCCTCACATTGCAACTGCTGCACCAGAGGGGGCGCTGCTGTCACTGAGCTCTGTCCACCGTGCCCAGAAACCCCCAGGGCATCATCAAACGGCTCTTTAGAGAAAGACACAGATAAACGTAAAATGTTGCTTTTTTTTTTGTGTTTGAATAAAATATTTTTGTCCTTTGCTATTGTCTACTTCTATTTAGAACAAGTAGAATTTAGAATCCAACCAGTAAAGTTGCAGGAGACAAAGTCGCAATGTCGCTGCGCTTTGACCTCTGGGACGTTAAAGGCTCATCACTTTACGCTATTAGACGTGCTTTAAATTGTTCTACAAATAGGGTCATACATATGGACGAATGGACGTGGCTGTATGCCAAAGAGGAGGCATTAAAATTATTGAACTATGTACAAGAGATGCACGTGGCCTCTGACAGATGTGTGCTGTACACCGATAGCAGACTGTGCCTTTAACATGAAAAGCTTTAACCATTTAGCCAATCATGTTACATAAAACGCCCCCTGTAATGGACAAAGGCACTCTATTTCTCTTATCTCGCCTCAAGGCCGCCTTCTGCAGGCAGCTCCACTCGTCATATGGAATGTAAATTACACTGCTCAGCTACTTTTTCAATGATTAACCCTTATGCTTGCTACATGGTGAAATTATTACACATTTCAGCTAGCAGCAATTTTAATTAATTTAGGTTACAAAACAAACATCTTGTCATTTACAAGAAATAAATGTTGTAGTACCAGAAAGCAAGTTAGTCACTTGGATTCATGAAACCTAGATGATACATCACAGTGACTAATATAAAAACACAGAAATTGAGACTTAGACACTTACTCATGTCAAAAGCATCTCTGTGAGCATTTCCATTTGCTGCAACTGGGGGGCGGGGTTTGTCCACATTGACGTATGAGGGGTCATCGAACATCTCCCGCCCTCCTTCTTTGGCACCCACTGAAAAAAAAAAAAGTAAAGAAAGACATCAGTAACCTTGGCATTTTGCATGTCTCCAATCAGCTGTTCACATTAAAGCTGAGACAGGATGATAACAAAACAACAAAGACAAAAGATAGGTAGGAGTAATGGGTTTAAACATAATAGAGCCAAAAACTGCCCAAGGTTTTTTAATTGTGGCATTGACCTCAACCATACCTACGGACAAATTCCAATAAAACTCATTATGATTAAGCAGCGTTCTACACTGAGGGGAATTACTCTACCTCTTTATAAAGAGGTGGGGGGGGGAAATAGGTGTGTCATAGTCTCGCTTCATTCTGCCTGAAATATACCCTGAGTCATTTCCTTTCAGCCTCACAGTGAATCACAGAGACAAGAGAGAGAGGGGCAGACAGGCAGGCAGAGACAGATCTCACCTGGTAGAGGCGGCAGAGGCTGCTTGTGAATGTCGTTCTGTCCTGGCTGTCCATACGGCTGCAAAGACAGAGGCACGCAAACAAATGAGTCACTGCACAATGTGGACACACTCAAATTACTGAGAGGGTTTTAGAGGTCAATAATAATGGGTTTGTATCAAACAGAACAGGGTCACGGTTGTGTTTTACTTTTCTCAGCTCAAAACTGAGCATTCCTGACACGCCTTCTGTACAGCACATTTTTTCTATATACTGTGTATCATCTCTTAGCTGCAGTGCTGTCAGTGTTTGGATGTGCTGAAGCATACAGTATGTAGAGTGTGTTTTCGTCTCACCAGCGTTGCCCCTGGGCGTGTCCTCATGTCAACCAGTCCACCAGGGGGAGGCTGTTTTCCAGGGAAATTATTATAGTAAGGGACATCAGGAGGCGGAGCAGCCTCATCATCTTCTTCCTCCCATGCAGAGCCGTCAAATGGAGCCATTCTGGGAGAGAAAGGGGTGAAACAAAGCCAGATTAAGAAACGTGACGGGGAGGAAAAAAACAAACATAAGCACACACTTTTGGGCAGAGAAACCATATCGATGTTTACCTGTCATGAGGTGTGACCAGTTTAGGTGGGTTCTTCAGGTACTGTTTGAAACGCAGTTCGAAGGCCTGGCCGATGGTGCTGATAACTTCCTGGGCTAAACCCTCTGAGCACTCCAGGATATGACATGCTATATGAGAGGACACATAAAAAATCTGTTTTCCCTCGAATTTCCAGAATTACTTTATTCAGTTGCTCCTCAGCTCTGCGAGTGGTGTCCCACTCTATTCATCAAAATTACTTCAAGCCACATGTTCAAATTTAGCACATAGAAATAAATGAAGCCCCAAAAAAAGACCAAATCAGTCTTGTTTCTTGTAATGCTGATTTTGCATTCTGGATCAGTAATGTCTTCAGTTGGCAGTGTGTCAAACTCAAAACAAAATTATTAATAGAGCCATTTGATTTATTTAACAGGATTCATTTATATTATGATTGTTTATATTTACAGTATTTGCTGGTGGTGCAAACTCAAATCCTGTTTGTCCATGTACTTAAACATGTACTTAGAAGATATATACACTTGTGCAGTGCCCATTGTAAGCATGCCTGTTTGAAATGGGCTGTTTACTTGGCCTGTGATGGTGACCTGCAGTAATTGAGCCATGGTGAGTAAAGACCAGGTGCAGGACTTGGTTCACAGAATAGACCGCAGCACAAAGAGCTGTTCACTTCAACTCAGGACGCTCAACCCAAACTGGAGAATCAGCTGGTGCCTGACGTTTATTAATGTATTATTATTGCATGTCTAAATGGCACCAAATTCAACACTGCACTTTCTTGACCCCTAAACAACACACATGCCAACTGTGAAGCCGATAAGATGAACGTTTCTCAATATGAAAGCCCAGTACAGACAGAGACACAGGCAGACAGAGATTTCCTGAATTGTTAGATTGATATTGGCAGATGCTGCCCGAGGGAAGGTGTCATTTTGCCGTTTCTGCTCACCTCTCTGGTTGACTGGGTCTTTGGCCACATATGCTACGTACTCAGCCGTATCCTGAGGGAGACAGGAGAAGATGGTTAGGGGAAGAGGGTAAGGGGGGAAAAATCGATCAGAGGAAAAAGTGAGGGCAGGTTTCAAATAGAGAGGTTGAGAACAAGAAGACGTAGAAGAAAGAGATCAAGCAAAGCTGCAGCCTTTGAGTCATACAAGAAGTTAAGAACAGACACCAAGCTGAAAGAGAGATAACAGGACGTAGTGAGATCAGGCTTGGAAGAGAGGCACTGCAAACCAGAGAGGCAGCAATGGAGTAAGTGGTATTCATAGGAACAGACAATGACAGAGGACAGGAAGGAAGGAAGGAAGGAAGGAAGGAAATGCAGATAGAAAATGTCAAGAGTGAGGTTTCAGCTGTCTTTGGGTGACTCACTGGGTCTCCTCCAGAGGCGAAGGAGATGGACTGCATGTGATGATTGGCAATTATCTGTGGAGAAAGAGAGAGAGAAAGAGAGAGAGAGAAGAAGAGCACATGGGTGACATGAAGTATGTGGAGAGCAAGATGAAAGCATGTGGATGGAGGAAACAAATATGGATTAATTACTGAGAAAAGTGCTTTTTTCTCCCATTGAGCACCATCAACTGCAGCAGACATAAAACTAAGCATGGACAATTGATGGAACACTTTTTTAACCGTCTGCCAACATGTGCGATCAATAACTTCAGCTAATGCTCTCTGCATGACGTGCGGTCTGTATCTGAGATGCATTTGTGAATGGGTAAATGTGCACGGCAGGTTTCTTTGTGCTACGTGTTCAAATGTATGCACTGCTCTACTGTATACAGCAAACTACTACAAATTGTTCAGTTGATATTAACTTGTTAGAGGTCTAGGAGGAGGATCTTTTTCTACTTTGTGTCGATGAAGGAATGAAGACGTTGGTTGAGAGGGATTTCTGCAGCATCAGAGTAAATGAGGCAAAGTGATCTCTAAAATGATCTGGGCATCCCCTGAATTTTGCAAAAGGTCATAACACATGCTGCTCTGTTTGAATCACAAATATAATACACTGGGTTAGATTTTGATTTAGAAAGTTTTAAAAATATCTTGATATTAAAATCAGTATTGAAACATTATTTTCACAATCCGTTTGTTTCATTAATTAAAAGTCTGAAAGCAGTGGGGGAAAAGACTTGTAAAACATTGTCTCTAAAATGTTAACATCCCTTGTGTAAACTGGAATTTCTACTAAATCTTCCTGCTCTAGCTTAGCTCTCTGGCAGATGAGTGAGCATACAGCCGTGCACAGCATTATCATATGTGGAGGTTCTCTGAAATGCTTACAATACTAACTATGGACAGATAATTCATGTTAGGAGATGTAACAAAAAATAATAGTTAAGACAATAAAATAAGCTTTCAAAGAATGATAAAATAATTACAATCTTTATTAAAATTGTTGTCTTTAAAAAACAAGAAATCCATAAAGATAGATGCTCAGGTTAAATCTACCTCAGTAAAATTCAAAGGCTTTCAGTGCAACGGCTACAGCAGAGCTCTAAAAATCAGATACATCTCTGACTCATAGCTAAAGTCTAAAGCTGTCAGGGACAAATCTATAGAAAATCAACTGAGTTTTTCAGAAGAACGCCATGACTAGTCTAACCTGTTTGCAGTCGGATGCCAGCAGATTGAGGCTGCTAGTCGAGATGGTGAGACTGATTGTCATGCCAGCAAACTGTAGGTTGCTCTTTCCGAGGATGGACGTCATACAGCGAGAGGAAGGCTGCGAGAGAGAGGGATGTGGTCAATGGGTAATAAACAAACAACCTGCACAAACAGAAGCCTACAGGGTATTTTTACTGCTGCCGATGCTGCCTGCCTCTACACAAGCAAACTGTGGGTGTATGTGTGGAAATGCCTGAGCGTGTGGGAGTGGGAGAACAGCTGCAATTGTGAAAATGATCCTGTCTTGAAGGCCGACTGTGACCAATGGGGAGCAGACAGGACAGTCCACATACAGCAGGCTGTGCCAAGAGCATCAGGCAGACCACGCCAACACTATTGTGCCAGCCTGTTTATCCCCAAACCTTCGCCTGTTCTCATGGCTGACATCCACATCTGCTCCAGAATGTTTGGAGTGCAGTGTGAGAACAGCAGCATCAAGACAGGATGCACATGCGCAGCCACATTTACCTCAGTCCAGCCAAATGCGAGGGACGAGACGAGTTTAATCTATTCTAGTTTACATTCTTTAACTGCATTTTGACTGTTGTGCCGCGCTGCCAGGCGTTCCTTGGTCAAACCCTACAATGGCAGCTGGCCACTGGATTTAGCCACCTGTTTTATGGACTGTTTGGGTGGAGGTTTTTTCGTTTTACAGGAATACAGCGCGCAAACACACAAGTCTTTACAGCAGACTGGCGGCTGTGTCTACTAGGCTGAATTGCTTCCTTGGCCTGACACTGGCTCCACAGGAGAAACAATTCCACCTCTCCAGCCTCCCTTGTGAACAGAGGGAGGAAAAAGAGAGACAAGAGAGTGATTGGTAATTACCTGCGAGTAGCCCATTAACCGCAAAAATGTACAATCAGCCTAAATCAAGATCTGTGTGTGTGTGAGAGTGTGTCTGAATAGCCAGCTGACCACAGAGTGGACAATCAAGCTAAATCTAGCTCTTATCTAGAAAATCCTTCCCACTGCCGCCCACTTAAGCTGTATGAATAAATAATGCCCTGTAAGGGTGTGTCTTAGTGTGCATGGTGTGTACCTTTCTCCTGCGCTGGGCTCCTTTGGCTCCGGGTACCGCCTCGCACACCACAGATATTGCCTCCCTGAAACATTAAAACACATGCAAAAGTTGCAATGGCATGTCATTAACCCCCACACCTCTCCGGATTTACAATTATGTGAATTAAATGAGATCTGGCAGCGGGTGAATTAATTTATCATCCCTGGCACCAATACTTGTCTACGCCACGGAGACAAACATCACTACGGAAACCAGAGGGAAACCACGAGGAATCCAGAACATTCTAATTTAGGGTCTGAGAGAGCTGCACACACACGCGCCCGCTCGAACGAGAAGATGCAGTCAGACAGAGAGAAACAAGCAAGAGTGTAAGTGGGACAGAAAGCAAGGAACGTAGATAAAGGAAATTATGAGGTGTGTGCGTGTGGCTGTGTGTGTGTGTGATAGATGTTTGACCCATTTAACCCAAAGAGTTAAAATGAGAGAAATTGCGAGCCAGTGATGAGCAGTGTGTCATCTCACCTGGTGACCTGAGTTCTAGTGTTGAAGTCCAGCGCTCGCATTGACTGTAGCACTTCCACGCAACCCATGTACTGTCCAGAAAAGAGCCAAGCAACATGTTAGCATTCCAACATCACAGTCCCATTTTAAGGATGAAACAAAACAGAGGAAATAAATTGTGCAATTAGTTTCAAAAATGTGAAAGGAGGATATATATATATATATATACATATATATATAGACTGTAAAGAGAGATGTGTAATTACATATTTCAGTCAGAGGTTAGTGAGTGTGTGCCAGTCACTTACCCGAACAGAGTAACAAACACCGGCGGTGCTGACCACACTGTCAGAGTGCAGCCAGCCACGGGTGGGCTTGTTGACGAAGGAGCCATGGCGCGTCCACTCATCTCCTCCTAGTTGCCCTCCTTCCACCCGTGCCCTCCTGGACGCCCCTCCCAGCCGGTTCATGTCCTGCAGAGGAGGTCGGGGAGGAGGAAAAGGAGCAGTTAGTGGGGTAACAGGGTGAAGAAGCAGAGGGGAGGAGCTAGAGCTGCTCCTGTCATCCCCAGAGGACTCAACAGGCGCTTGGGGCTGCTGCGGCCTGCTCGAGGCCTTGAGTCCTGGGAGAAGAGTGGTGGAGACCCCGAGACGCAGGGATCCCATCCTGGGGAAGAAGGAGCAGAGGGTGGTGGGGCTGTTCTCAGCTGGCCGGGGAGAAGAGGGGGGTAAGATTGGGGTGAGAGATGAGGAGGAGAGAGAAGAAGGTAAACCAGGGGACGGAGTGAGCGGGGTAGCAGGACTGGACGGAGGGAACGATGATGGATTAGAGTTTGTTTCATCATTTGAGCTCAGCGATTCACTCCGAAAGTGTGTGTATTTGGTTTTTGGGACAAGCTCCATGATGAATCTGCAGGGTCAGTTTTTATGTCCACGCAAGTCCACACAGGCTTTAGTGATTCCTTCAATGTCTCTTTGTCTCAGGATTCAAAGTTTCTCCCTAAAAGGACACACAGCCATCTGTCTGTCTTGCTCAGCGTAAGAGCTGCATCCATCTGTTTGGTTGTCTGTCCTCCACTCATTACCATGCAGCCAAAACCAAACTGCTACAAAAAGGGCTTTATCCACAATGAGAGAAAAATGAGAAAAGGTGCTGAGGAGAAGTGCGGTGTCCCAGTTAACGGTCGACTGCAGATGAAGAAAGTTTGTTTTTAGTGCACCAGCGCAGATCATGTTGTCATCAGTTCAGTTTAAATCTGCTTCAATGTTCATTGTGTTCCCTGGGAGTGACGATGATGTGGTCTTAGCTCTCCACAAAGTGTTCGTCTTGGTGTTTTTGCCACAATGTAAAACAATATCTGTGAGTATCTTGTCCAAATGCGACAGCCTCTCAGTGAGCGCCAGTTATCCAGCTGTCGGCAGCACCATGGAGAATCAGCACAAGTGATTTCTCTCAACACTCCCTTACATGTGTTACTGCACTGGGGAGAGCGAGCATTTTTACGTTATGTGTTTACATGCATGTGAGAGAGAATGAACCCTCCCTGCCCACAGTGTCTCTCAGATTATCTGGTGTGTATATGTGTGTTGGCCTGCACATATGCATGCATGTGTGAAGCAGCTCCCCTTGGTGGCTATAACCTGCTTGACACAGGCCCATAAAAATCCTATTAGCAGCCAACGAGGAGATCACAAGGGGGCTGTGAGCACCAACACGACAACACACACACACGCACGCACACAGTACTGAGCTCCAATTGGTCAATACTACAACGAGCACCTGCAGAGCTCAATGAAGCCCAGAACTGCTAAAGGTAAGAGAGAAGCCTGATGTATGACTTGTCTTCAGTAGCAGCACTTTCTTAACATTTACTTTTCAAAAAAAATTATATTCTCAAATCTTCTATTGAGTTCCCTTGTTTTTACTCCCTCTCTCTCTTCCTCCAAATGGTTTCATGTCCTCTCTGAATGGCCCTCGCTCTATCCCTCCCTGCGTCTCCCTCCTCTTCCTCTCTCTTCTTCCAGATCACTTCTGGCACTGTCTCCTTCACTCTCTCCACACTCCTTCCTCCCTTCTCTCTGTCTCCACTCTTCTCCTGGAAGTCGTCTCGCTTCCTCCAAACAATGTACTCCGCCAACCTCTGTCTCTCTAACGCCTCTGCCCTCTCCCGCGCCACCACTTCCTCTCTCCTCTTCCAGATGATCTCTCGCTCCCCCTTACCCCCTCCCTCGTGTGCTCGCCCGTTCTCCAGGCTGTCTCCTTTAACAGTCCCCCTGTCTAATATATTGATGGTGACCCCTGACGTTCTGCCTCTCACTGTAAGATTATGGATGGCTAGAGGCAAGGCATGGTCACTTATTTAGACACAAGTAGAAAACGAAGAAAAAAAGTTAGTATTTAAGACTGGCCCAGCAGTGTTGGGCTCGTTCCTGACTGTAGTTTCTGATATGGCTAAAACAAGTGAGGCTGCCTGGGTTCAAGTGTGTTCCCTAAAACCTGGCCACCTTAGTTAAGGATGTTTTTTTGTTTTTTTCTCTGGAGCACCATTAGATAGTGGTAGTTTGAGTCTGAGATGTTGTCTGTGTCTAGTACAGTAACACACACTGCAGTAGCACGGTGGTGATGCAACACTATAGAATGTAGGTCATTGGCTGATGATGACTACCGGTGGGCTTGTTGTGATGGTAATGAGACCTGATTGGTCTGGTTTGAAGTCCCAACCCAGGATTCCCTGAATGGTGCTGGATGATCCTCAGAGATGAACGTGAACTAACTCATCCAGCTGGAAATGCTCAAAAAAATCTGCACTCTGTCGATATTTTGACCTCTCTAGGCACGACTGCTCTTACCCTGTTACCTAATTCCTGCCTAGTTAAAACAAGCCCAGATTATAGTCAGTTACCTGAGAGAAGAGCGCTGACATGGCCCAATATGGTTTAATTAAGACAAGTGCTTTACTCTAGACTTGTTTCCCTCCTTATCTAAGGCAGGGCTTATCAAGCAGCAGGTTAGCTCTCAGTTCTCCACCATGCATCAGCTCATATTCTGCATAGTCCAAACCAGAAGGCAAACAACAGTCTGTTGACATTAGCAGTCTCTCACAACCCAAAGTCCCACAAACAAAACAGTCTGCAGCAGTTTAACCTCTGCAGGAGGCAAGTCTACACATGTATTCCTGCAGCAAGTCTACATCTAAAGTCCTCCAGCAAGTCTACACCTACAGTCCTACAGCAAGTCTACACCTACAGTCCTGCAGCAAGTCTACACCTACAGTCCTGCAGCAAGTCTACACCTACAGTCCTACAGCAAGTCTACACMTACAGTCCTGCAGCAAGTCTACACCTACAGTCCTACAGCAAGTCTACACATACAGTCCTGCAGCAAGCTGACACCTCAGTGCTGTTGAGGCACTAGTCATATTTACAATCTGTTGACCTTTACTCCCTCAAAGTCGAGCAAGGTTCACACACACCTTGACTATACCCCTTGTAAATTTGGCACCAATGTTTCAGTGACGCCTTGTGAAAACAGAACATTTTCCACAGACTATTTCATAACACAATTGTGTTTAAAATACAGTGCACCAGCTTGCAGTGGGCGCTGGATGCATGGCAAAGGAACAGTCGCCTACACTAGTCTAGCACCACAGAGGGAATGTCTAGCAATTCAAGCTAGTCATCCATCTGGTCTTGGCTTAAAAGCACCATGGAGGATCCAGTCATAAACATGCACTGCCAGACAGGCTGGGATGATCTCCAGTAAGCTGTAAAGAAGTATGGCTGAAAAAGTCACAAAAGACACCTGTAGTTGGACAATCAAAGAGCATGCAGACCAAATATAACAGTCTGTAAAACCACTAGAAAATTAGTCGAAAGAGAGAATTAGCACGTGTAAAGTGTAAAGATCAAACACAGAGAGAGAAAAGCGCAGGTGTGTTCTCAAACAAAGGGGTGCTGAAATGCTCTATAAGCAGAGATAACCCTTGTCTTGCTTGAGGATGTTTTAGAAGACAGCACAGTCTGTCAGAGTGTAGGTCAGGTGACTGCAGAGGAGATGACCCTCTACATGAGGTGAAGTCCTGAGTCACCTACACACAGACAGCAATAGGAACAGACTGTCACAGACATAGAACACCTAATAATCAGTGATTAGTGACAATTAGGCCAAGCAGCTGCACAAAGTGATATGCACAAGTGGAATCAGTAAGATAATCAAATCTATGCAGCCATTCCTGATTCTGGCACATCAGCTTGACTGATGAACACGTTGCCGTAGTCGCCGTAGATAAAGGTGAGATCAGGACAAGCAGCGCTGTGCTGAATCGCACAAGACCAGCGCACAGAATGGGGAGGGGGAGACAGGTGACCTGAAACAACCCTGATTCTCGGAGACTGCCGAGCTCCGCATAGACAAAGACTGTCTAGTAAAGAAAGAAACAATCCTGTCTAAGAAACAAACTCTACAACTAGTCAGGTCTACTGATTCTAATCTCTAAAAATACACAATTACCTAATGGAACAGCACCAGTTTTAAAGATAAGACAAGAAAAATCAACTTTACATGTTCTGTCTGCAGCTGCTGCCCGTTGCTATGGCAACAGACATTAAAAGAGATGCCTGCGGAGGGTAGTCCCGTCAACGACAGAAATCTTCAGACAAAGAGATAACTGCTTTATCGAGTCACACAGCGGCAATTAATAGCTGCATTAAAAGACCTTTTTTTTCACCCAACCAGAGGAAAAACTACAGACTCCTAGAAAATCAATAGGTTTCAGGAAATGATCAAAGTTTGACCAGCGTCGCGCCAGCCATAAAACCCAATCAATGTTGACATCCCATGTCGGCTGCATGCACTGTATCCAATTAGAGAGTGTAGATCTCTGTGTCGGACATTATTTAAAAAGAACAACTATCACTTTTCTAACTACAGTATAAACAACAACTACATAAACCACTTACTTCTAAAAGACAACACTTATGTTTAGAAAAGTTGCATAAAAACAACCTGAATATTCTGTGCAGCAGCTAACAAAGACTGTATAAGATCCTGCAGAGAAGAAGTCACAAAGAGTATATTTACATCATGAAAAAAGTAATTCAAATTGTATAAAGATCAATTTATCTAAAAGTTATTTTTTTTCAAGAATGGAAAAACATAAATAGTTCCTTTTTTGGTTTAAAGAGCATGTAGCTGATAATCCATGTTGATTCATCTAAAGCTGGGCTCAATCTTCACATGAGAACCACATTAATGTTTAAACAGCAACAGACGCTCTTTCGTCCTTTCTTTCTTCTTTTCTGGCTTTCCGTCCGTCCACTCCCTGAAAAACGTGCTTCTCCTCTGATACACTCTTCCGCTCGATTAATTCACAAAGTCACTGCCGGCAGCTCCTCTCCATCTATCCTCTCCTCCGTTTGGCTTCCTCTTCTTCTCTTCCCTCCACTCTCTCTCTCTCTCTCTCTCTCTTTCTCTCGCTCTCTCTCAGCAGATGGTGAAATGGCAGTGCTGCCAGGATGGACAATGGCACTCCTTCATTGTGTGCCTCTTCTCCCCCTCACGTCTGTCTCTCATTCCCACTTTCCCTCCACCTCTGTCTGTTAGAGGGACGAGCACGCTGTCTGTCTTCCCCTCCTCCTAGTCTGGGAGGGTGATTTTGCCTCCCATTTTCTCTTTCTCTCTTACCCCCACTCTCTCTCTCTCTCACACACACACACACACACACACACACACAGAGTCAGCTGCTGCCTCTGCCCTCCCCACCTCTTTTTCTCCCATCCTACCTCCTTCCTGTTTCCTCCCCTTCCCCCCACCTCCTCTCTGCAGCCTCAGTCATTTAGCAGCTTACATACATGCACAGCAAGATGCTTTGCTCCTGCACATTAACGCACTCACTCCAAGGGGAGATGAAAATGGGGGGAGGGGGAGGGAGCGAGGGTTGTAAGATGGATAGATGTGTATGTGTGTGTGCATGTGTAGAGAGGAAGGGTTGACCATGTTGGCTATTCAATGCTCCTCCCTTATTCATGTTTGGTAACCTGAGAAACAGGGTGAAGGGGGAGAGAGAGAGATGGAGGATGGAGACAGACAGGGGACACTGTTCACCCTCCCCCTATGTGCTGCACAG